GCTGGTTTCTTCCAAGGCCTCTCCTGGTGGTTTGTACGTGGCCACTTTATCCCTGTGTTGTCAAATAGGCTTCTCTCTATATGTGTCCTAATCTCCTCTTCTTATAGGGACAACACCAGTCAGACTGGGTTAGGGCCCATCCACGTGACCTCATTTAACTAAATTACCTCTTTAATGGCCCTATTTCCAAATACAGTCATCTTCTGAGATAACGGTGGTTAGGGCTCCAATGTGTGGATTGGGGGAGGGACACGATGCAGCCCATAACAAGGCCCAAGCCATAGGTCCTCAGAAGGCAGACGAGAGCCCCAGCTCGCCCTGCCCAAGCAGCTCAATGAGTGCGTCCAAGCCTCGTTCAGCTCTGAGTCATCGCGAGTGTCATCAAAGGCCCCAGGCCTCCTTCAGATCAGCCAAGTAAGTAGTCCCGGCAAAGGGAGCCAGAATCGTGGCAGGAGGACTTCAACCTTTAGTGGGAACGGGGGAAGCCCTCAGCATCTCTGGCTCAGGGTCCCCCCACCTCCCCATGCCACCTTAGTGGCGGCCCCTCAGGCTCAGAGCTGTACTTCATCTGCATGGTCTCAGCACCCACCAGCCCTGCTCTGATTAAAACCTTGCCTGCAATTTGCACTCTACTGTCTGGTGAATGCCTAATATCCACTGAGGTGGCCTCTATCCATGCTGAGCTGCCTCCCTGGGTGATTCAAAGGATCTCTGCCCGGACCAATTAGTTTGCTCCCTTGGGCACTCCAGCATGACCTGGATCATTCCTGGTCACCATCACTGACTGTGATTGGGGTGGGGGGAGGGAGAGAGCAGGCAGTTCCTGGTCCCGAGTGAAGCTTAAGCAGGAACCTGGCTCCCCAAGGAACTCACCAGACTCAGCTGGACTCATCTACTACTTTGATGAGTACCTACTGTGGGCCCATCTCTGTGCTAGGAACTTGACACATGACTCTCTCACGGCACTCTTGACAAGTGAGTATTATTATCCCCACTTTACACACAAAACAAGTGGGACTCGGCAATGTTAAGTGACTTATCCAAGGTCACACAGCTTGTTATGGCAGAGCCAGGATTCAAACTCCAGACTCTACAATGACACAGCCCTTAAAGTGCTTTTTCCGTTAGTTCATGCAGCCTCTTACCAGCCCCATTCCCACACAATCCCAGCTGGAAAGGAGTTAAGAAGCTATTGAGCCCGGTTCCTCTAGTTTGCAGAACATCATGGCACACACTGGAATGGCCACCCCAAATCATTCACAAAAAGATTTCCATCATCTTCGACCACAGAAGCTGGAAAAGCAGAATGCTTCTCTTCCCAGCTGCCCTTGCAGCTGGGCAGAGGACAGGTGGCCCAGTTCTGGCCTATGAGGTATCAACAAAACTCACAAGTTGGAGATTCCAGGGAAAAGAGAATATTTCCCCTTTAAAAACATCTTTGGCTTTTGCATTCCCCTTTCTTCCTGCCTGAAATACAGCTGCAATCCCTGGAAGTGCAGCAGCCATCTTGCAGCCATGAGGATAAAGGTCCCATGTTAAGGATGGCAAGTCAAGAAAATAGGAGATTGGGTCCTTGACAACATGGTGGAGCCATCATGCCGACCTGGATTTTTTTGTTGCAAGAGACAAAATCTTGGGACTTCTTTGGTTGCGCAGTGGTTAAGAATCTGCCTGCCAATGCAGGGGACACAGGTTCGAGCCCTGGTCCGGGAAGATCCCACATGCCGCGGAGCAACTAAGCCTGTGCGCTGTAACTACTGAGCCTGTGCTCTGGAGCTCGCAAGGCACAATTACTGAGCCCATGTGCCACAACTACTGAAGCCCGCGCGCCTAGAGCCCGTGCTCCGCAACAAGAGAAGCCACCGCAGTGAGAAGCCTGTGCACCGCAGCGAAGAGTAGCCCCCGCTAGCTACAACTAGAGAAAGCCCTCACGCAGCAACGAAGACCCAACGCAGCCCAAAATAAATAAATAATTTTTTTTTAAAAAAAGACAAAACCTTTATCCTGTGTGCCACTGATAGCCAGGTTTTCTGTTACCTGCTGCAAATTCAATCCTAACTGATACAAGCATCCAGATGTCATCCCTGGGCCTGTGCTCCTCCTGCAAGGACAGTTTTGCCAGATACAGAATCCTTGGTTGATGGTTTTTTTTTTCTTTCACCACTTTGAATATGCCATCTCACTGCCTTCTGGTTTCTATGGTTTTGATGTGAAATCAGCTGTTAATCTCTTAGTTAGCTCGAGCTGCTAAACAAAATACCATAGACTGGGTGGCTGAAGCAGACATTTCTCACAGTTCCAGAAGCTGGAAGTCTGAGATCAGGGTACCACCATGGTGGGTTCTGGTGAGAACCCTCTTCCTGGTTTCCTGACATGGAAGGGAGAGAGGGAGAGAGGGAGAGAGGGAGAGGGGGGAGAGGGGGAGAGGGGGAGAGGGGGAGAGGGGGCGAGGGGGGGAGGGGGGGGGGGCGGGAGGGGGGGGGGGAGGGGGGGGGAGAGGGAGGGGGGGAGGGGGGGAGGGAGGGAAGGAGGGATGGGGCTCTCTTGTGTCTCTTCTAAGGGCAGTAATCCTACCATGAAGGCTCCATCTTCATGACTACCTCCCAAAGGCCCCATTTCCAGATGTCATCACATTGGGGATTAGGGTTTCAACAGATGAATTTGGCGGGAAACAGATACACAGTCCATAACACTTAGAATCTCAGAGACTAAAGAAGCCCCGAACAAGCATCCCAGATGTCAGAGTAGTGGGGTCCTCTATCCTGGCCCCATCCCCACCATGCATTTCACAGAGAATTTAGAGTGTGAACACTAAGTGAGACCTCTAACAGTCCCTGCATTTACCCCACACAAGTCCCTTTTGCTGAAGTGGTTGAGTGGTTGAGGGCTGAATACCCTGTAGCTCTGGTCTTCAGGGAGATCCCTCTGCCCTTGTGGAGTGTGTCCTAGTGTGGAAGTCATCATGTTAGAGAAGGATGTCCAGGGGAAGGAGAGCCCCCATCAACAGGAGGATGTCTAGAATGGTGGACACCAGGTCACCCGAGGGCTGGCTAGTGGAACATGGAATATTTAACCTGGAGAAGAGAAGACTCTAGAGGATTAGGATGGTCTGTTTTCAAACCTCTGAAGAGCTATTCTGCAGAAGAGGAAAGGAAGGAGTAGACGCTTTCTTCTCTGAGAGGTACAAAAGGACAGGATGAGGCCCAATGGGCAGAGGGACCAGGGAAACTGGTTTGCGTTCAATCACAGAAAGATCTTTGTTAACAATCAGAGCCAGTCCCAAATGGGCTGGGCTAGGAGACGTTCCAGAGAGGCAGTGGCCATTTGTCTAGGCAATTTTAGAGCTAATTCAGGCATCCACTCAAGGGAAAATAAAAGGACCCCACAAAGTGCTCCTCAGTGAGGAAATTCTATGATTCTGTGAATCAGACTACACATAAGAGATACCACATGGCATGCAGAGGAAAGAAGGCAGAATTTAGAGTCAGAAAAATCTGATTGAAAAGCTGATTTCTCCCCTTGATGGCAAAGTCACTGTAGCAGAAACAACTAGTTATCCCCCAATACGTGTTCTCCCTCTTTTCATAGACATAGAAGCCGCAATTTTCACCTGGGCACATGATCATCTGGAACAAAGACTACATTTCCCAGCCTTCTTTGCAGTTGGGTACGGCCATGTTACTACGTTATAGAGTGAAAGTAGAAGTGGTGAGTGCCACTTTGGGGACATGTACTTAAAGGGAAGGGGCATGTTTCTCTTTCCCCCTTTTTATGCTTCACCCATTCTTCCATTCTGCTGCCTGGAATGCAAATGTGATGGCTGGAGCTGGAGCTGCCATCTTGGATCATGTAGGTGAGGACCACATGCTAGGTTTGGCAGAACAAAGGATGAATCTTTAGTCCCTATGATTTTGCGAAACAGAGCTGCCTACCCCCAGACTCTAATGGGAAAGAAGAGTAAACTTTCATTTTGTTTAAGCCACAGCTGTTTTGAGTCTCTGTACCGAATCTCACCTAAAACAGGTGTCTACTCTGGGGCAAAGTCTTTTGGGCCCTCTGAGGCTCACTGCGTAACCTCATCTGTATAAAGGGAATCATAATGTTCACTCCACAGATCTCACAATATGCTTGGGCAGGGGAATGAGATGATGTTTGTGAAAGCTCTATGAAAATTATTCAGCATGGGCACCAGGAAAGGCATGGTGTGGGGTGGGGCTCGGTTGGGGAAGGAAAGTTGTACCAAAGAAATATAAATGCTTTCCCCCTTCTACAGTGCTTCCTAAAGATTCTGAGTTTCCTGTCTCCATAGATCTTGGAGGGTCTGATCTTTGGTAGGAGAGGAAGGAGGGTGCATGAAGAGATTTCCAAGTCCCTGAAAGCCTTCACAGTCCGTGATTATCTGCCCTTAATGCAATATTGGCCAGATCTTTGTGGCAAGGAAGTCGGAGCAGTTTTTAGTTCACAACCAACAAAAGTTGGGGGTTCCTTTATGAACTGTTTACTTGTGGGCAAAGCTGTTCTCTTGGGGGTCAGTGGCAGGAGCCCACATGGTAGAGGTAGAATGCAGCCCACTTACTTTACCTTGGGGAGAGGAAAGGCAGCTCTTGCTAGAGCATCTGCAAAAGCATGGGGGATATATAGCAGCAACTGCATCATCAAAACTGCCGAACAGAGACCACACACTGACCAGAGGGGGCAACACATCAGTGCCTGCAGATTGTGAAACAGTTCGGCATTCCCTGTCAACCTTGCTGGAGACTGTACGTTCGCCTCCCCGCCTTGGTGAACAGGGCACTTGTCGCAAAGGGCTCCTACAGAAATTCCCCATTGACATGAGGCTCCACCTCAGGAGAGTTCAAGGCCCCTGCAGGCTGAACATTCACCTGGGTTGGGGCCCATCTTCTGGTGCTCAGAAGCCCAATATGTTCCCAGGTCATAAGGGTTTTTTGAGCTCTGGCCCAGGCAGGTCAAAAGCCAAAGAAACCAGACGTATCACTTACGGCGATGCTGAGCTCGGATGTGCCCCCCCCCTCCAACCTGCGAGTGTCAGGGGCTCATCTTGACTTCCTTCTTATCCCCTCAGGCTGGAACAGTCCCGGACTCACAGAAAGTCTTCTGACAGCTGTTGAATTGAATTCAACGTCCAGAGAGTCTGGAAATGGGTGGGAATCTGAGCAGAACAGAATAGGAAAGTTAGTTAGCAACGTGAGATGAAGCCAAGGGGGTGCTGCCCGAGCCCCGACCTTCTGATTCGCCCTCCTCCATCCATCCTTACTCCATTAGTTGGCGGCTTGCAGGGGGTGGAGCTGATTATAACCTAGGAAGGGAAGGTCTCCCCTCCATTCAGAGCAGGGAGGCGGCAGGCACAGGAGCCAGAGGACTTTTCCTCAACCAAGTGACAAGGCCAAGTGCAAAACAGTCCTTGGGAGACAAGGGGCTGGGGCTCGAGCAAGCAGAACCCAGGAGTGCTTGTCAGCACCCAGGGCGGATTCCTGGCCTGGAATCAGGAGCAGATGGAAGGGGAGAGGAGGGGAGGATGTCTCTTGAGGACCAAAGCCCTGGGCCGACAGGCCACAGTCTGAGCTTGCATCAAGATGAGTGAGGGGCCTCAGCTCCCTGCCTGATCTGCAGACTGCGGCTGGCAGAGGCTGTCCAGGCAGTTCAAGTCCACAAACGTTTCAGAAGCCCTGACTCTCTGGCCCTGACCCAGCTCAGGTCTGAGGTCTGAAGTCTGTCACCACGGGGCCTGTTAAGCTGTGGCCAGGAGGACCAGCTGGCCTGGTCACACCGCTGGAAGGGCCACACGGGGTGTAGCAGATGCTGGTGGTACCCCACCCTTATCCCGTTGGCGTTGATCATTCCGGTCCGTGCCAACCGCCACGGAGTGGCGCCTGCCATTCGCTTGCTCTCCTCAAAGGGCTTTCCCTGGCTGGTGAGTGGGGCAGGCTGTGAGCACAGGGAGTACAGTCTCCCAGGGGCAGCCCTCGGCCTAGGACAAACAGGTGTGGGTGGAGAATCACCCCAGTTTCCTTGCCCTTCAGTTGGGACAGTTCTGAGAGGGGTGCTGCCCACTGTGTCCCAGACGTCCCCATGGGGATTTAAGCCCAGTTGCCCACAGTGAGACCTGCCCCATAATACATACACCCTGTACTGGCTTCCCTCCCTTTTTGCGGTACGCGGGCCTCTCACTGTTGTGGCCTTTCCCATTGCGGAGCGCAGGCTCCGGACGCGCAGGCTCAGCAGCCATGGCTCACGGGCCCAGCCGCTCCGCGGCATGTGGGATCCTCCCGGACCGGGGCACCAACCCGTGTCCCCTGCATCGGCAGGCAGACTCTCAACCACTGCGCCACCAGGGAAGCCCCCCCTCCGTGTCTTGATTGCCCAGTGTCCAAGTCATTGTCCTTGTCCTGCTGTCTGCTTCTGGGGCCAGGCACCTGAGACACAGGATTAGTAGATGGGTGTGGCTGAAAATTTCCAGACAGGCACAGATTATGATCATGACAGGGGACAAATCAGCACCCAGGCCCCGGAAGGCTGCGGAAGGAGGCTGAGGTTCCAGCCTTGATAAAGAACTGTGGTCCCGGGCCAGCGCCAGGGAAACCCATGAAGGAACCCCCATCCCCCAAAGACTCTGAGCTGCCGAGGTAGGGCCCCAATCGGCCCTACTCCCCCCTATTGGCCCCCAGCTCAATGGCTAGCACAACACAGGTGCTCAAGAAACGGAACTGAATTGGAAATGGAAATGGACTTGCGACCGATTCCATTCCCTTCCACTCCCCCATCAGACCACTGTCTCTCCTGGTTGCCCCCTCCTCCCTCCATTTATTCAAATATTCACACGTTCATAAATATATACAAATACGTATGAGAGGCACTAAGCTAGGTCCAGCTTCTTCTGTTTCTTCGCCTATATTTTGGGGAAGCCCGCCATTCTTGGTGGTTTGGTAGCTGCTAATTATCTGTGTTTTAAAAAGAACTGTGGAAGGTAGAAAATTTCTTCAAAGAAATGGCTTTCTAATGCTGAGTGGACAATGGCAGTTGTCGATATTTTGAAGAAGGGCAAAGAGGCCCTTAAATCATGCCCCTTACATGGAGTCATCAGCTCTGCCTGTAGCTTATGGGCGGGGATGTGACATGCAGACCTCACCCTCCACACCAACACACAGATACAACTGGACTTGGTTTTCCACACTCAGGACCACAGACGCCCTTATAAAGGATCATACATGTGAAGGCACACATATGAGCATCGAGGCCCCCACGAGCCCACTGTGTGCACCTATGAGGTGGTCTCTCCTCCCTGCCCCTGCCCAGCACCGAGACTGGTTCCCACTGAAAATGCAGCTGCTGGGTGGTTGACAGGCCAGCCAGTAGTTTCATTCAGTTGGAATCTGAGATGCCATTACCATGGCGACCACAGCCCCTCACATCTCTGTTATCTTCCGTACTCTAGGGAGTTGAGTGTTATACCTGGTAGACTTTCCTTCGGGAAGCCATTCCTTCCTTCAGGAGTGGCTTTTAATTTTTCCCCAGGGCCTTGCTTCTTTGAAGCAAGTTGACTTTACACCTCCCTCTGGCTCTCCCTCTGCTAATGGTGAGGGAGGTTTTAGGGGCAGTTGTACTTTAATCAAGATTTTGGTCTCCTGGAACCTTTCAGCTACTCTCCCGGGGTGTCTGATGTCATGCTTAGCCAAAGGGAGTAAGAAGTCCACCTTGTTCTCCACCAATCACCCTGGAGTTAGGGATATGGTCGCAGAATCTTCCAACTGGAAGGCTGTAGCACTCAGTAGGGTATCCCGCTTGGATTCCCGCTCCCCTGCAAGACAGAGAGACTCATTCCTCCAGCTGACAGCTCTCGACTAAATCCCCCTCCAGGAATTGCCCTCAGCCCAAGAGAACTGCCTCACTCAAAGTCACACTCCCCTTCCCTGGGGGCAGACCACATTCAATGACTGGTTGATTGGGGGTACAAAGGCTCAACCCCCTCGCCTCCAATTCGTGACAACTCTGAAGGATCACACCAGTTCCAAGGCTCCCAGGGGATCATGGGAGGCCTCTGTCGTGACTGTATCACAGTTCGGGCCCTCCTCCGCCCAATCCTGCTTCCCTCACTCTCTTAGATTTTGACCCTAAAGGGAGTCCCCGAGAAATAGCCTACACACACATCACATTAGAGCCTGTTTCCAGGCAACCCAACCCAAGACAAAGGGTCTGGAGCACACCTAACACAGTCCTCTCTTTGACAGACGAGGAAACTGAGGCCCATGGAGGGGCTGGGGACTCTTAGGGTCATTTGGGGAGTTAATATAAAATTTAGTTCCCAGATCCAGACTCTCAGCATTGGAACAGAACTTAAAGGTCCCCTGATCAAGGCAGAAAAATGGAATCAAGAAGCTATGGATGTAGTCCCACTTGTTTATTTTTGCTTTTGTTGCTTTTGCTTTTGGTGTCAGATTCAAAAAATCATTGCCAAGGGCTTCCCTGGTGGCGCAGTGGTTGAGAGTTCGTGCCCCGGTCCGGGAGGATCCCACATGCCGCCGAGCGGCTGGGCCCGTGAGCCATGGCCACTGAGCCTGCGCGTCCGGAGCCTGTGCTCCGCAACGGGAGAGGCCACAAGAGGTCCGCGTACCGCCAAAAAAAAAAAAAGAAGCTATGGAGTAATTTTCACAGCACTGATAGCAGTGGTGATGGAGTTAAAGAACCGGAACCAGACCCGAGAGGCCACTGCCACGTTGCCCTGCTGCCCTGGCAACTCAGTCTTGCTGCAGTGAAAACTCCACCAGTGAAAAGATTCCTATGGCCCCTACTTCTAGGTGTCAGTCTCCAAAGAAAAGTCAGCATAGGTGCCTAGATTGGGTGCCCATGCCCCGGTTCAAGGAAGGATGGAGAAGTGGGGACCTGGCAGGACTGGTCAGTGGTTCTCAACCCTGTCTGCATATTAAAAGCACCCAGGAGTTTTAAGAGATTCTGATGCCCAGGCCGTACCTCAGACCAATTAAATCAGGATTTCTGGAGATAGGACCTAGACAGTGGTATTTTGTTTTAAAGCTCTCTGGGTGGTTCTGATCAAAAGTTGAGAACCTCTGCTACAGGGGAAACCAACGATGAAAAGACTGGAGGATCTCTCCTATTAGTTCCTTGTGGTATCATGTAGGGTTTGATCAAGGAAGCAGAACCACTGAGTGATACAGAATAAGGGATTTATTGTGGGAGCTGATTAAGCTGCCCATGTAAGACCATTGACTAGTCTGGTGGAGGGTCTGAATGCAGCAAGGCCAGTAGTGGGGATGAAAAGATGGACATGGTGGTAGTTATATATTGCTGTGTAACAAATGACATCAAAATTCTGTTACTTGAAACAACGAACACTTATTATCTCAGTCTCTGAGGGCCAGGACTCTGGGAGTGGCTTAGCAGAATGGTTCTGGCTCAGGGTCTCTTCACGGGGTTGCAGTCAAGGTGTCAGTCGGAGTCTGTGGTCATCTGAAAGCTTGACTGGGGCATGGCTCACTCACAGGCCCTTTTACCACATGGGCCTCTCCATAGGGCTACTCCTGACATGGCAGCTGGCTTTCTCCAAATCAAGAGATCTCAGAGAAGAAGAGAAGAGGGTGGGAGGGAGGAAGAGAGAGACTAAAACAGAAGGTGCAGTGTCTTTTATAACCTAATTCGTAAGTGACATGCCATCACTTCTGCCACACTCGTATTGGTGACACAGACCAAACCAGGACAATGTGGAAGGGATGGCTCAAGGGTGTGAATGCCTGGAGGCGAGATTCATTGGGGGCCATCCTGGAGGATGGTGTGAGGCCGTGCAAAGGTAAGCCGGCACCCACCGTGGCAGCCAGAATCCACATTTCGCAGCCTCTAACCTCCACGGTACGAGTCACCTGCAGGAAAAGCTGGCACTGTCAGCCACAACTGCACGGGCACTTGGTCCAGGATCTGGAGAAACCAAAGGCAAAGATCCAGCCAGAGCTGAAGAACCTGAGGGCCTGGCTGTGCCCTGGGGCCAAAAAGGTGAGCCAGCAGATCAGCAACAACACGGGAGAGCTCCCATGCACCTGGCTCACACCGAATCCGCAGAGTGTAAAAGTGGCCGCCGTTTCACCTCAGCCTTCCAAATCTCATGCAAATTTCTCCTGCGGCAAACCCCAAGGTGGAACCGTG